CTTGGACACTATTATGAATGGTGACAGTCTAGTTCACGCTGTCAAAATTTCACAACTTTTTGCATATTTTTTCTCACAGATCGAAAAATTCAAACAACAGCAAGGCTCAATCTAATAGGTGTCATACAATGGTGCCTTGTCAGTAATAATCATTCATTTGTGTTGTCATTTTCTTTAGAAGTTGCTTATTTTATCTTTCAAAAAGCGATGACCAACCACTGGCTTCTAAATTTAAATCTTATTCATATACCTTATCAGCATATTTTGTTTTGATTGAGGACATCAATCTTCGGAACCTAAAGACAAGTTTGAATCACATTTTAAAATCACTGTTTTGACTTCCCATCCGGACTGTCGCACGCCTCGTTGTCTAAAAATAAAAACCTCAAGACATCCACCGCTTGGTAACAGGTGCCTTCTCCATCGGTTGCGTTCCAAGTGTTTGCAATTAGAACAAGTGCGCCATCTCGGTCAGCAGATGTTTGAGCCCTCGAAAACGACCACGGCAACGGTGTTCTGATTCCTACCTGCCTAATTATCACACACCGATATCCACTGGATATAAATTTAGCTGGCATTTGCTGGTAAGATTTGGAATTCAATCACCATCACTACAATGTAGCTGTGTGGACACGCTAGACAGAATTGTTTACTACTGAATCCTATAACTAAGTTCCCTGATCTGCTCCCCAGAGTGTATGCTTACGTTTATTCAGATAATAAGTTAAGAAATTAATCGTCTGAAAGAGAAATGGTCTCGAAAATTATCCTTACGCCCTATTACAAGGAATCCTTTATCTCGTTCCTAATGTTGCCCTACCTATTGCACTGTTAATATAGCGGAGCTTGCCAAATTTGTGTTTCATTAAGCTGAGCTAATGGAAATGCCGATTGACATAGACGTCACGACATTTAACTAGAACATGACAAACATTTAAAGTCTGAACGGAGTTGTCTCTGTTTAAAAGAATGCAAACTGACTTCCTTCTTTAAAGAACAAATTGTGTGAGTTATAAACAGCTCCTTGAAGCACACTCCACCAAGTAAGAAAGATTAAATTTAAAAATGCATGCAATCGAATGCATGAATGCCCTCAAATAAGCCTTTTCTCCTTAGTATTGATGCGCAGTGATCGGTTACACAAGCACGAAGTGCATTGTTAAAATTACAATGAACTTGCGGTTGCGAAACTAAGGGTACTCACACAACAGTCAGCGTAGAAACCCAAACATATGCTAATTGCGATCTTTCCTTGATTTGCATCCAAAGGGTTTCCATTAGTCGGCAAAATTTAAAGTTATATGTTTGTCATTTTTTTGCATTTCACTGTCAGCTCAAGGCTAGCCATTTAAGTCCATGTGCACATACGTAAAAAAATGTGATTTTTGACTTAACTTCTAAGATCGACTTGGTCAGGTTCCAGTAATTTCCTTCAGAAGGTGCGGTTACCTTACTGCAAGTACAATCACACACTAAAATCGGATATTAGTTACGGATGTTGCCATTTAAATAGCACTTTATAATCCTGAACTCAAGTAAGTTGGGGTCCGGTAGACAACCTGAATGGTAATGAGATTGGGCATCTTTATCCGATTCTCTTCAGTGGTTTTAAGAAAGCTACTGAGACTGCAAAAGTTTCATTTTTAACGTTCAGCATAGGCCAAATTGCATCTGTATAGGACCAATGTTGGAAAGACGTCTGCCCCCTGGTGCAACTTATTAAGGACAACTTAAATGTTCCCCCATGCTTACAGGTTTAAATCGACTGACCACTCTTGTTCTCACCAAGCTATTTTCATACCTCTTCTCAATAAAACATAATAGATACGTTGATTACAGGAAATATGACAAAAATTATAACAAGGGATGTGCTTGGACTAAGTTTTCTTAGAAATAATGCGACTACCTAAAATATTCTCTTAGTTTAAAGAAGCATCCTTATCCACAGAAACATATTTAGCGAGTAAAGACTGTTAAATTAGTACGAACAAGTAGAATCATTTCGCCTTCTTGGACTTAGACATTTATAATTACGCGAGAATCGTTAGCCGACTCAAGAATTCACAATACCTTCGCAGTGATTGTGTAGTAAGCGTGGTAGGCACATATGCATTAAACAATATTCAGCTGAAAGTTTCTATGCAGACATCTCTGCGAGTTTCGAATGTTACTCAATATATCAAGCTAATTTCAAAAAAATTTCCCATTCACGAAGAGTTTATTATTTAATAAAATGCTTGACGGGCTTTTGCTGCAACTGCTTTCGCCAGAAGTAACGATTCATGTGTAAATTCATCAAAATTAATTCATTTGCCTGGAAAATCAAGAATAGAAACTTAAATTATTGTCACTTTTCATACACATACTTAAGAGTCCTCCCTATGCAGTCTTGGCGGTATTAACTGAGGAGCGGCTAAATGGGCTGCCGATCCCTGCCGTCCACAATGAGGACAGAGGAAACAAGCAGGTTGTAAGTACTGCACTATCAATAAGTTACGGCAAAACGTTTTTATTCAGAATGTGTTCTGGAGAAGAAACATGGATCTTGATAATCAGTTCATCAATAGCCCTTAAAAAAGAAAAACGGGTTTTGAATATGGGGACTCAGATGTTTAACAACTCCTGAGTAGGATTCTACTAATCTTAACCAGTGTTGTCTTTTGTCAGTAAAGTGCATGCCAGGGGTTCATCAGGATAGATGAACAGATTCTGGTAAGTGTGCTAGAATGGCGCGGCAATGACCCTCAGCAGAAACCACTATTACATACTCGTTGCCAAAAAACGTGGTTAAGTTTCCAGCCAATTAAATCCGCCCTATCCTTAAAAATACGAAAGTGAACCTTTCGATCGCAGAAGCAAATATGTATAAACTTTTTAAAATCGGGATAGCCCTGCTATTCCACACTCCTTGTGTTTTTTAAACATTCCTGATGAAACTTTTGCTGTTCATACAAAAATGCCTTAATCGAGTCCGAGTCCGCAGTTTTGTCACTAGCTATGGCATACGGATGCAACATTTCATACCGACATCTCGATCATGTCCTATTTCACCGGGAACTTTTGCTGAGACCGCCAAAGTACCCAATGGGCTGTTTACCAAACAACATAAGAAACCTGCTGATTTGTTTTAAATAAGAAAGTGTTTTAGAAAAAACAAGTATATATATTAATGTTTTTCATGTACTTTTACTCTCCATCCCTAGAAATATCTTTTTTACTTAAACTAGAAAGACAAAACAAGATAGTTTGCCTTAAACGGGAGACTTGTCTTCCCAATATACTTGACACAGATGCCTATAGACAATATATAAGGGTACAGTATTGATATTTGTTGCAATTAACATAGAGTAAGAGAAATTTTGACAAAATTCACGCTCCGTCAACTTGAAAACAATACTATTCATACGATCAAGGGAGCTCAGGGGTTTGGAATTCCTGCAAAGCATGAAACTTCAATACGTATGGAACTGCTCACCCAATCAAATGTATTATTGTTTTCGTATCAGAGAGCATGACTGGTTCACCAGTGTCAACTTGTTACATGCACAACCTTGAATAATGGCATACCGAGACAGCCGGCCATCAACTGATAGACGTTTGCTTCTTTCTTCGTGCCCTCAGACTTTTAGTGAAGGTTTGGCGGGCTTAAAAACGATGCATAGTATGAGTCATTCTTTCAAAGTTGCGAATTTTTACTCAAACTGACGGGTGTGTAACTTTCTCTCTGTTTCCTCAGCGCAGTAGAAATCTCCACAGTTTGATTGTGTTTAAGTAGCAGCGTGTTTTTTTTGTAGTTGCGTCAAACTGCGACGGATATTTTCTGGGTGGTGACGTTTTAAAAATCACCATGGAGACGCCTGTCATGTCCAGACGCCGGCACCGCAGACACTGGATTTCTTCTCTTCATAAAGTTCGCAGCCGTCAAGTTCTGCAAACTTAACTAAAAAGCCCAAGGCTGACTAGCGCTAGACACCATTTTCATTTCCATTCTGTTCGATGCATTTTCTGTGCTGGTTTGCTAAAGTAGGTATTCGAAATGTCAACAGTTCAGCAAATCAATGTCAATGACCGCTTCCTTTTTTCAAGTGTAGTAACCTGGAACGTTCATATTTTGTGCTGTATATTTCGGGTTCTCGAAAGTAGATAACGCTGTCGGAAAAGTCAGGGGAAACACGAAGGACATTTCTGGGTCATAAGCCGCCATCAGTCAGTCATCCCAAGTGGTACCCAACCCGAGGGACGAACCAGCGACCTTTTGATCAGAAGTCTGACAATCTAACCAGTGAGCCACGGGCTCGTTGTCTTGCCGGTTAAGATCAAGACATATTTGCACTCATCACTAATCGCTAGCGGAACTCACTCGTCCCATTCTCCTATGACGTGCACTCTCTAGCCCCGCCAGCAATCCCACAGTAGCTAAGTGTCTAGGCAGGAAGCACTGTCTAAAGCTTATTGTTTAACGTTAGATTTTTATAGCGTTAGATTTCCGATCGAAAAGTCGCGAGTTATATTTTTGGCTGGAGCAGCACTTGGGATTGAATGTGACCGGATGATGACGGCTAATGGGCCAGAAATGGGCACCCCAGTCTCCCTAGGCTTTGCCAGCAATGCTATCTGCCAAGATTACTAGCCGCTGTGGAGATGCTGGTGGAGCTGGGGAATTAACGCCAACATAGAGCGGGGTGAGTGCGTTCCGTTAGCGATGGGTTACCACTACTCGACGTGTTCCCGGAAGTGCTAGGTCATCGTAAAAATTTCTTCGTGTGACATCGGAAAAATTTGATATTTTAGAAGGAAAGTCTTCAGACTATGGTCAACTAGAAACCACAACAATCCCTGCCATGGTTGAAACAGCATGGAAGAGGCCAGTACTTTCATTACTGTACGCGAGATATGTCTTATTGTCAGTGAACAGGAAATTTGCTTTTTCAAAAATATTATTTGAGCAAAGGTAGCATCAAAGGCCGGTATAGCTTATCAGTAAAGTTTTCTAAGCAACGTCAAAATACCTGAGGGCTTGGAGACTGATGATTTTTGGAAGGGTCAGCGAGGGTGAGCTGTTCCAGGTTGTTTAGGGCTGAATCCACCCGCAAGCTTGTCGGTTCAATAAATTCCGGGTCTGCGCTTCCATCGAGAGAAGTTGGCACGGACGGTGAGTGAGATCCTCGATCCTGAGATGATGATGGCGGCAGAAAGCCATTGCGAGTTGACTGCGAGGGTGATATGTTCTCATAACAGGGATTGGGAGACCGTGAGACTGAATGTTCACTCCTTTCCGTGTTGGAGGAGTCGTTGGTGGTTGGAGTCGGAATCTGGTCATACGGTTCGGCCTCCGGCGTTGTGTGCTTTGGCTAAAGATGAGAGCAAAGACTGTTTCAAAAAGCTGTGAGGACTCAATTGATAGGCAAGCGGTTAACGAGAAAGAAAACAGAGTCCGCGGGGTAATTTTGGGTCTTTTAGACACCATCATCCGGCCCTACCTAACTCATCTTTTGTGGGACCTGGGGTTTGACACTAGGTGTGGAGTAGTCTAGTGCTGTGCCACTTGTCCCGTATGTTTTGATCTGGTTAATCCATTAATATTCTGCTATTTGCCTTAAGGACTGGCTGCGGGTTCATAGATTGAGTCCCAGGGCACAACGGAATGGGCATTACCCGTGACCTGATCGGCCAGTGTCCTTCGATAGAAATACGTCTGACAGTTTTTATGGTCAGAATACAATAAGGCCAACTCTAACTAGGTAGAAATATGAATAAGAGGACCAAGAATACAATCTACTGCTGTATGTGAGGATTAATGTAAATAAAAAGGGATATAAAATGTTTCTGTAGGTGTGAAAAAATGTGTATTCAATAGACAAACGAAATTTGTTGCAAAGAAATGTTGAACTTTATTAGTCGCGTGTGGGCGCCAACGATTGCGACTAAAATCCATAAGCCTAAATTCTTACTTTGCCTGTAAGTTTTATAAAACGTAAATTTACGCCTACTCTCAACGCATCCATCGTAATTTTATTTAAGGCCATTGGCGAAAGGATCATTTAAAATCACGTGGTACAGCTAAATAGTTGGTCGTTGAAAAAAAAGGATTTTTAGTGGTTTGCCGTTTTGGATGCTTTCTTGGACGCCTCATCATAAGCGACTGGGTTTGAATGACAATCCGACGCGCTAGACCGATAAAGGTGTTTTTACGGTGATCGCATGTTCTTTGCCTATTGACTATTTCAACGGACGAGTAGACTAATAATTTTGGTTTTGCCCCTGCTGCAACTCGCTGTCTAGGATGTGACATGGCTCACAAGTAATTGTCAGGCACGCTCGCTTGTGGCATGATCGGGCGTTTTAGGATAAGGTCACCTACTGCGTGAAGCATACCTACGGGGCCCTTGAGGAACTGCGGCCAGTTGGGAAATCACGTGGGCTCACGGGCGTGTATCTTCGGTCCAACCCTTAAGCTCGTCGCGTGGAGACGATCAGAACGAAGACACAAAGATATTGCAGCAGTCCGCATCCACAAAGGAATCATTGTGGCAGTTGGCGGCAGGAACGACGCCTCAGGAAAGCTGGCATGCGGTTAAGCTTCACTCATAACAGAAATAACCATTCGTTTGTTCCAACCAACAAACAGATGCCAAGTCTGCTGAAGCGACTCACATCAGGACGCTAGAAGAGCAAATCTTGTGATGATAAAAGTATTTGAAGGCTAAATTGTTTGCGTGCATCTGTCTGTAGCAGATTGGATTCTTAATGGATTCTTGCGAGTTAATGTCCACTGCTTGTTAGTTTATTGTTAGTGAGCGCCGCGGGGACTTTGAACTTGCATGCGAGCTGTTTTTTGGAATGGGGACCTACATTCGCATGCTAATGGAACGCCTGCAGGATGAAATGGGCATGTTGTTTGCCCTGCTAAATTCAATTTGTCTCTGTCTAAGTCGGCGATTTAAGTTAGCCTTTTCATCTTTTTGGGTTACAGCTGATTACCACATAGGAGGTTCTGCATCCGGACTGCGATTGTGTTCATAAGAATACGGGATATCATCACTTAGGAAGTTGACATTTTAGTTCACAGGTGAGATCCAACGTTAGATGAACGGAAAAAAGTTGCCAAAGGCCAGAATCCTTACAAATCGAAACGCTTCGAAGGCGTCATTTCACATTTTCTATTGTTGGCAGAATTCTTTTATTTACGACAAAAAGCATAATTTATTTAAAGTGACGATATTTTTCTCAGTAGCCTTCCGATCATATGCTTGTCGATCTCCAAAATCCCACTGATGCAGTCACTGATTTATTTTAACAAACTACCAACTATCGTTGAGACACGAATTTTATCCGTCTGACGTTTTGAAATCTGTCGCGCATCCATCATCAGAGATAGTAGCAGAAACTTATAATTTATACACAGGGATTACATTATTTATAGGATACCGGATCCAACATCAGAGATAACAGCAGAAAGGCATAAGTTATACAAAGGGAGGTAAAGTAAATTTAGGATAAAGTCGCTTTGCTCCTGTATAACTAGACAATTAAAGGCATCCCTATTAAGGATATTTGCTCATCGAAGCGTCTAGCAAATAAAATTCCTGTGCAAGCGATCACATCTCACTCTTTTTAATTACTTCCTGACACACGCATTTTTGCTTGTACTGACAAAATGTCAGGTGCTATCACTTACCATTTCAAATATAAATTAAACCAGCGTTAAAAGCTATGGAACAACGTCAAGGTTGCAGTTAATAGCCCATAAATACAAGCCCACAAATAGAAGTCCCATAGGACATCTTGAGTTCACGTTTTTTCTTGACAGGATAGCATAATTTTATTTTCGCAATTATCACAGGAGTCGGTGGATCTTACAATACCAGCACCATATCAATGCCCATATAAGATGACCTCATTTTGCCGAAACGTGGTGAATAACTTTAACAGTCACCCGAGTAAGGTTTTATAAAATCAGCATATTGCGTTTTCGGTATGAGCTTATTGCGTAAATAAATGTTCTGAGGAAAAATGTGATCAAGGCTTAGGAGTTTTACCCATTTTTATCACTAGTTACACGATGTTTTTTAAGACATTGTTTCTTTTTAGTGAAGTTACTTGCTTAATTTCGCCACATTGGCCGTTTTGCGTACGCGCGGGAACTGTTCCTGCACCTAGAATGCTAACCACAGTTTTGCTTGAACTTCATTCGCTCCATTGGAGTTTTCTCGGAGCCAACCTAGCCATTTGGGCGTGACCAAGGCAAACCTGCATCACCACAGAGAATTTTGTTATTTTTTCCTCAGTGGCAGTCTCAAAAAACCTGTTTTGCTGCCTATATGACAAGCAAGCCTACCTTTTGCGTGCTAACCATAAGCGGAAATAAAATAAAACCGTTCCAGCCTTACTGAGTGATAAGTGAAACAGTAAGGAGAAAATATGGACAATCTATACATGTGAAAAACAAAAGAACCTAGGGGAGTAGTTAGGACAGAGAGAGAGAGAGAGTTGTTACAATTCCGAAAACAAAACTTATTCTTGTTTGATGTTTTAGATGCACACACAACTCTTCTCTCAGGAGCAGTAACAGAAGGGAGTACATGATTCACAAGGATTGCGTTTTTATAGGAGGGAGTTACAATGCGCTCGATAATCTTCGCAATTCGCTCATGGTTCTATTTATTTTTGTGATTATGGCTCAGCAATTTGCATCGCCGATATTGGAACGGGAAATCTTGTTTGGCCACGAGTTTCCTGTGTGGCGAGTTAACCTCCCTCCAGATAGAGGCTTAGCATTCAATGAAGAGGGGGATTTAATTGCGATTTCTGAGCAACCGCCAACCGGGTGGACCATGGCACAAGCAGGTGGCAGTGCATGTGATTGTCCCATCTGACAGGACGTTAAGCCTCATTGAACTCGAAGGTATGGCCTAGTTTCGCAGATTTAGTTGCTGTTTGAGCTTCATATGCAGTCTCTGCCCCCTGCTGATGCGGGTTCAGCCATTCGCGTTAGTTTGCTTGGACTTTTTTACTGTCTAGGAATGGCACAGATCCATTTACTCATGCCCGGGCAGTACGTTTTTCGACTATATTAGTCTCACCCTGATGGTTGCTTCCAATTTGTATAAACCCCAAATCTATATGGCGTCGCATGGCGATTGTAGGAACCCAAAAACAATTCAGCATTCGGCGACGCTCATAAAATGTATTTCCGTTGCCGTTTAGTTGCAACTCTTGTTTCCATAGGTGCTACTTGAATAGATAACGTGCAGGCGAAGGCGATTGCCATGACCAGTGTCGGTCCAATAAAACAAGCAGCACTTCGATGACCCCAAACTGGTGATAAATTGGCTGCAACTACTTACTCAGATGCAGGCAATTGGACAAATACTGTGCCCAACTGGACCATTTGTTAAACATGTTGCGGCTGCTGACTTTACATATGGTTACATAGCAACAGAATCCAATGAATACTGTAGCTGTCGTATGTTCATTTCTCTTGTCTGTTTCTCTCTCTGATTACAGGTACTACTACTACGAATCCGAGAATTCGGACGAACAGGATTATTCTCTAATGAGCTAAGCTACTTTTTACCAGATGCTAACTTTGCGCTGCTGGTGATATTGATCTTAAATCAAAACACTGAAGAAGATGGACTGCCAAAAATAACCGTGAATTAAAAACAGTTACAGAAAGCATCTAGGACCAAATTATGGAGGTTTCCGGTACGTTTGAGCGCACTTTCAGGCAACCTTAACACAAGATTTTACAAGCAAGAAAAACCGTTTACTTCATAGGTTGTTCGAGGGATAACCTTGACAACAGGTAACCGTTATCTGAGAAGTCCATTTTAGGTAGGTGTTTTTTTGGTTGTCTCTGACGATTTCGGCCCGAAATGTGGGTAGTTCGTGCATCAATCCCAGGGTGCCGAGCTTTCTTCGCTTGCCAGTGTGATGTCGGTCCACCTTACTGAACTCCGAGTTGGCGTGCAGCAGAAGACGCTGGCAAACTTCTGAAAAAGCAGCTGTCAGTTCTAACCTCGCACATCTAATTGAGAGCGTGCAGGCTCGGTGTGCGCGACGATTCGAGAATCGCGGCAAGGTCAGCACGGGTACATATGCACCTGCAAATCAAATGCCATGGTAATCATGTCGACTAAGGGGTAAATACGTCGACGTTCCTTGCTTCAAATAGAAGGGCCTCTCAGTTCATGCATGCATGCTTTACTTTAAGCATTAACAGATAATTTAAACAAACAGGCCAATGAACTTTCACCGATGTCAGTAGATGTCTGAATTTACGTCCTTCTACTCAGCCATGTTTGCCAGAAGTAGACAAAGAGAATGAAAATGTATAACATCTATGGGG